AAATTCTGTATTCGTTCTTGATAAACACTCTTAGCAAACTAGGAATAGAACAGAATATTGTCAACCTTGTACAGGGCATCTTGAAAAACCTACATGTAATATCACATTTAATAATGAAAGACTAAAGGTGTGCCTGGGTGGCTCAGTCAGTTAAATGTCTGATTCTTGATTTCGGCTCAGGTCATGATCTCAGGGTCATAAAATCGAGCCCCACATCAGGCTCCACACTGGGCATGGAGCCTGCTTAAGATTCTCTCTCTCCCTCTGACCCTCCTCCCTACCCCCCACCCCACGCATGCATCTGCACTCTCTCTCTCTAAAATAATAATAAAATAAAATAAAATAAAATATTTATATTATTATTGTATTATATATATATTTATGTTATTTATATTATTATATAAAGATATAATAATAATTATTATTATAATGAAAGACTGAATATTTTCACCCTAACATCAGGATCAAATCTAAGATGCTTGCTCTCAGCACTTTTATTTAACATTATATTGGAAATTCTGGCCATGGAAAAAAGAAAAAAAATAATAGAAAATAATAAAATTGCACCCAGATCAGAAAGAAAAAAGTAAAATTTCCTCCTTTATTCACACGTAGATGCATGATCATCTATTAAAAAAAAAAAAGTGTGAAACCTGCAAAAATGCTTCTAGAATTAGTTTAGTGAAGTTGTAATGTGTAAACTTAATATCAAAATTAATCATATTCCATTTACTAATAATGACCACAAATGGAAATTGAAAGTACCAGTGACATTAACAATAGCTTCAAATATATGAAATTAATAGTTATACACTTTACAAAAATACATGTAAACTAAAAACTAAAAATAATTGCTGAGAGAAATTAAAGACTTAAATAAATATAGAGATATACGATGTTCATGGGGTCAACTCTTCCTAGGTCGATCAATAAATTCAACACAAGGCCTGTTAAAATCCCAGTGGACTTCTTATAGAAATTGACAATCTCTTTCTAATATTTCTATGAAAATGCAAAGGACTTAAAAGAGCCAAAACAGCTTCTAAAAATAAAAATGAAGTTAGAGGACTTACTCTGTCTCAGATGAAGCATTATTATAAACCAACAATAAGGTATTGGTGTAAAGACATACCCTATTGTTGGTTTATAATAATGCTTGATCAATAGACTAGAATAAAGTCCAGAAATAAACCCACACATATATGAACAACTAATTTACATGGTGCTAAAACAATTGGATAGCCATATGAAAAAACTATAAAACTTGACCACTATCTTAAACCATGTAACAATTTTAAGTCAAAATATATCCAGTTCTAAATGTAAAACCCAGAATTATAAGACTTCTCAAAGAAAACATAGGAGCAATATTCCATACCCTTTGGTTTGCCAAAGATTTCTTAACTACAACATGAAAAACACATTCCACAAAAGAAAAAAACTCACAAATTGTATTTTTTCAAAATTAAAAATTAAGCCCTTTGAAAGACATTGTTTCATGAACGAAGAACTTACAAACCTTTTCAAATTGTACACTTTAAATATGTGCAGTTTATTGTATGTCAATTACACCTCAACAAAAAAGCTTTAAAAAAAGGATAAGCCAGAATTTTGAGAATATATTTACTAATCATTTGTCTGACAAAGGATTTGTATCTAGAATATACAAACAACTTCACTAATATGAACAACCCCCAACCACAAAAAAAAAAAAGAAAATAGCCAAGAAATTTGAAGAGACACTTCATCGAGAAGATAGATGGATGCAAAGAGGTATATGAAAAAAATGATTAACATCATTAGTCATTAAGGAAATGAAGATTAAATCCACCAAGTCTAAAATTGAAAAAGTCAATCCTATCAAATACTGACAAAACTACAGAAACTGGGAACTCATATGGATGACAAAGGAGAATGTAAAATGGTATATCTGCTCGGGAAAAAATTTTGGTTGTTTAAAAAGTTGACCATATACCCCCCCATAACACAGACATTTCACTACAAGGCATTAAACAACAGAAATAAAAGCATATATCCATACAGACATTTACCTGAATATTCATAGCAGCTTTATTTGTACAGCCCAGAACTGAAAACACCACACCACAAATATTTATGAACATGAGAATGGTAAATAAATCATGATATGGAATGGAATATTTCTTAGCAATAAAAAATAATAAGTTATTTGTATACTCAACAACAGATAATGTCAAAATAATTATGCTCAGTGAAAGAAACCAGAACCAATATTGCATAGTACATTATTCCATTTATATTAAATTTTATGATAGACAACTAATGTATAGTGACATAGCTGTGATTCACAGCTGTGATTGCAAGGGTGGTATGAGAAAACATTTCAAAGGAGCACCAGGAAACTTTTGGGGGTAGGGGTTATTTATTATCTTGATTATGGTGATGATCTTATAAATACATACACATATACAAAGATTACCAAATTGCACACTTTATATGCAGACAGAAAATGTGTGTCTACAGGATATTACCTTTAGGAGAGAAGTCTAACCGGATGGCTACAAAAGCAAAGACTCCTAAAGCCTGAATCACTATGGAAAGAGTCCATGTTCTAGGTTCAAATTAAAAAGAATTTGATTTTGTCAGGACACCGACAGTGTGTCAGGCTCAGTGACAAGCTCACATTAATCGAGCTCATGAGAGACTAACCTATAAAGCAGATTGCTAATGTATTAATTAAAGTGAGAGAGAACTTCCAAAGGTCAAGCATATTCTTGTCAGCTGGTCAGTACATCCTGACCACAGTAATAAAGTCTTTATGGAGAGCGAGTATGATCAGGATATTGCTTGGTGAGCAAGGGCAATTAGGAAGATGATTGCAACAGTTAGTGTTACCAGTTTGTGACCATCTGAGGCCATCAGAAATATATGTCCTTCTCCTTGGACAGTCCTGAAATTACTCTGATGTGTTCTTGCTCCTTTTATTATCCTTTCTGTGAATTCCATACCGAACTTCTACATTCACTTAACATATTCTCATTTCTCTTTCAAAATGCCAAAATAACATGGAGTAGATTATGTCTTTTTTTACATCAATTGTATTTCAGAGCTGCCTTCCTCAGTTTATACCCTAAATTACTTGACTAAATGTCAGCAATACCTTTCTCATTTTGATTTCATTTAGGGAAGTATTTTTCCCATAGCTATGAACTATGTCTTAGCTTGGAGCTGTTGTTGGTTATTATTTTTGCAGATAAGAGATTTCATATAAGATAGGTTTAATTTTAATTATCTTAAATTATGAAATTATGAGAAACAATTTACCATGACCAAGTGTGTGTAGTACACATTTTTAATAAAGCAAATGGTTTGAGATGTCCAAGAACATAAATGAGGAAAATTGAGTAGAATAGTTTATGCATTGAGCCATATTTTTAAAAAAGCATAATCTATATATCTATACTTGGTACACATAGCTAAGAAATGAGGTATATGTCATGTTTTTGAATACTTCTACTAAATACTTTGAGAGTATGCAGACCCAGCAATTTTTATGCAAAGAATAACCAACAAATTACCACAGCTATTTATTTTGATGTTTAAAATTTTTACTTACTAACATTAGCCCATAAAAATGGCACCTCTGTTGAGTAATGTGGTATTTTTGCTGCCTTCTAAAATTATCTTTATATAGAAATACCAGGTTTGTTAACAAGATACACTCCTCTTTCTCTAGTTCTGAAATGGAAACATTAACAAATTTTGGGGTTGAATGAAAAAATTTGTATTATCAATAACTTTCAGATGTTAATTTCTAATTGGCAAAAATTCTTTTTATGAGAAAAATAAATGCTTATGCTTATACTCTCTCCATCACCATAAAATATTATACAGGTTGTTGGAAATATGATTATGTTAGTCAACTACGTAGGCTGCATTTCCTTTCCAATTACCCTTCCCTAGAAGTAAATTACTTAAGCACCCCTCTCTAGGTTGATTGTTCTTCAGTCAGATTTCACTCCAAGTATTTGCAACCAGCGCTATTATTTAGGTTGTGTAGGTTGTGATCTCCATAAGGAAACTCATGTTAAATGTTGAATGGTGTCTGAAATCCAGCTTATCCTCTGCTTACTAAGCCATGTAATTTGACTGGGGGTTCTGTCTGTCCTAAGGAAAAGACATTTCTTTCCAAAGATACCCTAAGGACTAGTGGAAGCCCTGTTACATACATTCAAAGTCTACTTTTCTGGTCATATTTGCTTTGCTCTTTCAACATATTTTCTTCTAATATGTCAATCCAACCTAAATCAAAATACTGATAGATTGTACATGTGGCTGGTGGGGATGTATAGAAAATTGTATTTATTTATTTATAATTATTTTCTTTATCAGTTTTACTTATTATTACTATAATAATTATTATGTATTATTATCCAGGTGGAAGTGTGAATTACAATAACCTTTTTTAGGAAATGATTTAGCAGTACCTATTAAAATTTTAACTATGTATTCCATTTGACCTCATAATCCACTTTTAAAAAAGTATGTCCTTCAGACAGTGTATTAGAATGTATGTACAAAGAAGTTCACTGGAGCTATAGCTTATTTTAAATAAAAACATGATCTCCTAGATTTAGTATATCATATTCCAAGATATGGACTATCATAGAACTATTTTCAAAATATGAACTACATCTATAAATAGTGACTTAGTAAAATATGTAGACTATAGGTTACATTATATTGATTTTATTCTGTTAAAAAATGAGGGGAGACTGTTGTGTATTGGTTTCTCATGATGTCAAGTCCCCTTGCTTACAGCTTTAGGGACGCTGTTTGATACAAAGTGAATTTGTTTACTTTGGGGCGGCTGTGTCAGGAGGCTGTTATCAAAACGGCTGTGCTACTGAGTGCTTATCAGTACGACATATGGAGGCATAGGAACACATGACTAAGACATAATGAACATTTAAACTTTAAATACCAAGAATCTGTAGAATTTCCAGAAAGTATTAGGGCCAACAAGGCCACCCTTTGCTGATCTAAATGCTCTCCAAAGACCTAGTGACATTAGCTCTGGTCGTGACAAGACAACTGTGCGTGGTGGTGGGGAAAATGGCAGCGGCTCTGGGAAGATCATCTTGCTCACCAACACAGGTAACTTTGCTCTGCTAGCACTGAGCGCGAGTGCCAAGAGACTTTCGATTTGCAGTGGCAGCTGGACATCAGGGCATGGTTGGCTAAGCCGACTCCTCCGAGAACCAACTAGTAGAAGGTATACTTCAACTAAGTTTGGACTTTCCTTCTTTCATCTCCCCTTTGCCTGAAACATTAGTACAAAACTTATCTATCATTGGTTGGGAGTATATTATTTTCTATTGCCTTATTGAGAGGCATGATCCTGTATGCTATTGGCTTGTGAAATATTATTATAAGTTATAATATCTCTGTAAACCTGTGTTAAATAAACGATTGGCAAAGACAGTCTCAATCTCCAATCATAATCTGCTACAAACAAAACAAATGTGATTGAATATATACAGATGTATCTAAACGCATACACATGTTTTATGGATTTAGTGAAAGGTAAAATAGGGTATACATCAAATTGTTAGATAATAATTCACAAAAGTAGATTGGGGCCAAGAATGTAAAACTATTAATTGTTTTTATTAACTGTCGTCTGTGTTGACCAGTTTGTTGCGATATGCTAGTATTTTGCCTTTTTAAGTTAGAAAGAGCAAAAGACTAGTAAATTCAAATATTGCATCCTTTGGGTTTTCATTTTCCTTTCAATTCCATTCATTTTCATTTTCCATTCACATATTCTAAGAATTAGTCTTCTTCAGTACCATGTTTTAATGAGAGCTCAAAACCATTGCTAAACCTCTTTATTGATCATCCTGAATCCTACTCCCAATATACACATAGTTCTATAAGTTTTGTTGTTTTATTGATTTGGAGGTAGAGGTTATTTCTTTAATTTTTCAGGGCTATTTTCTACTTATTCTATCTCAAGTCATCAAGATGTACTTATTCAGTTTCTAGCTATGAGTCATTCACAAACCCAAAGCAGATGGAAAGAGAGACCAGGTCCCCTTGGCCAACATTAATACAATACCCTTGTGCATACATACAGAAAATATTCTTATGATCATTTCTCCAAGAAACTTAAGACAATTTTCTTGGGCAATTATGCATTGGAGAGAGGAGAATACTCAGGATTTGTTGACTGCTGTTAGATATGGGACCTAAACTGATAGGAATAACAGGGAACTCAAAGGGCCATCTGTCTCTCAAGTTTGCAGGGCTCTTAGAGAATAAGCATTAAGATATATGTGTGCCAGAAAGTTGTAGATAAACTCCCTAGCAATTCAAAGTAAAGCAACATCTGTGAAGGTTGTGGCTGCCCAGTGATCTGAGGAATGCCAGGACATACATTCTAAGGAAAGGACAAATTGCTTCATCTGTCATCCCTTTCAATTAATAAAGAATTGTTGTGCTTTGCAGGTCTCTGTGGATATTGGTGACTGCACATAGTGTACCTTGGAAATAAACCTCAGAGTCACAGGATAGACTCCAGAAATTCTGGAGTAAGACCATACCTTCTTAAGAAGAAAGCTATTTTCTAAATGCAAAGATTTCCTGGAATGTTATTGAGGGCTTGACTACAAGGCATCAATATCTATATGATTAGAGCTTCCCAATGATGTAGTTTTGAAATGTAGGTGAAGTTGGTGAGGTCCGGAGCTAACAACCAAGAAAGAATTCTTGAGACGTCTTTGGTGCAAAATGGTGGTTTTATTAAAGCATGGGGACAGGACGTGGGGGCAGAAAGAGCTGCTGCACCAGGGTTGTGCGGGGTGGCTGATTATATACTTGGGAGTTGGAGGTAAGGAAAAAGGAAGGTTTTCAAAAGAACTTTCATATGCTAAAGAGGACCTACAAAATACTGGAGGCCTTCCCATTGTCAAGTTAAGGTTGTTTTTCCCTCTAGTAAGGCATTAACATCAAGAGAGTTGGGAGTTTCCTGGAGGAACAGTATACTCTGCCTGCCTCAAGTATTTGTTAATGGGTTCCAGGTTATAAGAACATTTAATTTTATCTACATTTCTGTCTGGAAGCTTAGGTTATTGATAAGAATGCTTTTTTCTTGTAAATCACTAAAACATTTGTAAACTGAGGGAGACTCATGTCTTGCAGGACTGTAATCTCTGTAAGTTAACCATTTATTTTTCCTTCCCTTCGCTTTAGGGCAGCCAGCAGTGCCTGAGGAATGTCACACATGCCCCACCTGGGAGTGGGAGGAGGTGTTGTGGGGTGTCAGCTTGTGCTTTGTCCTCAGCTTGCCTTCTGCTCCCTCATCATCAACATGATCCACAAAAATCATAAAAGTAGTCACAGAAGGCATCTACTTTGTAGAAGAAAAGGGACATTTGGGATTGGACCTGAATTTATTCAGACGGTATAAATTAATTACCTAAAAAAGTGGCCATTTTCATGAAGACAGATCACAAGAAATACTTGGAAAGAGACACAGGGATGAACCTGTGACAGTAGACAGAGAACATGCAGATCTTTGTGTACCATGTTAATACTCATCAGAAAGCATCCGTCACACTTTAAAAAGTCACTGAACTACCAGTTGGACGGGAATACTTGTCCTTTGTATGAAAGCCAGGCTTTGTCGTCTGTTATCCCAGTGCTGATGTTGGAGAAGACATAGTAAATAGTAAATAGTAAATAGGAATCAAGGCATAGACAACACAATTGTGCTCCTTCTCACCAAGGTGAATCTAGCCATTGCCACTACCGAAGCCCCATCTGCAAAAACTGATGATGAACCCTTGGATGATGAGTTCCTGGAGAAATCCAGAGTCACTTCATGGATGTGGATTATTTCAGAACCCTTCCACTCTGTATAGGATGGCTATTTACCCATAGTAGAAATTAATCTAATTATGGTTTGTCTTTCCTGCCCCTAATGCCCCTGCTGATATCTCTGCATCTGAAGGTTTACAGTTGCCTTATTTATTGTCATGATATCTCCCACCATATTGCCACAGAATAAGGGACTCATTTTAAAACAAAGGAGTTGCAACAATAGGTGCATGCCCTTAGGGTTTATTTTTCCTACTAATACTGTTTCACCCAGAAGCATCCTATGTGATAGAACAATGAATGTTTTATTAAAGTTTCAGCTAAAGTGACAGCTTAGAGACAACCCTCAGCCCTGTCCTCCAAGATGAGAGTATATTCTTGACCAACCACCAGTACAGTGCGATGCCCCAAGCAGATAGAATTTATGGTCCAGAACCAAGGGAAAGAAATCTGATTGGGACCTCTCGCCATCACTTCCTATATTCCAAATGCTGAATTTTCCTTTTTGTCTTTGCAATCCTATATTTTACCTGAACTCTGTCCTGGTTCTCAGACTCTGTCCTGACACTGGATTCTTGATTGAATCAACAGGCAAATAGAGGAATCATTAAAATGGATGGCTAATCAGTTCTGCTTTCTATGAGGACCCACAGTTGCTGCTAAAAATGAGGGAAGGGAGGAGTATTTATGGTATCCAGGATCTTCATTGGAATGATTCTTGATGCTTCTATGCCCCGAGATAGTGTTTAGAGGGATATTAAAGAAACTATGGCACAAACAAAGGGGGGTCAACTAAGAGCTCAGGACATTGAAGGATGAAGGTCTGAGTCTCCAACACAAGGGCAGCAACCCTTACTGGCTCAAGAGCTATGTGAAGGTAAGGGATATCCAGCATCAGTGGTGGAAAAGGCAGATGATTAGAAGCAGTTAGTCTCAGGAGGAGCTATAGCAATGGGGATTGCAACTTTTTTGCTAATCTTCCTTAATTATTTGTAAATATGGCTGCTGGCTACAACCTGAAATGAGACTCTGGGCAATAGACTGGACCTAAGGAAGGGTATAAATGTATCTAAATCATGGAATATATGTACTGTACTGCACATGTTTAAGAATCACTTCAAAATCAAATCCTCTTGCCTTATCTATTAATCTAGCCACTGCGATAGCAACTCAGATTTCTATTAGCTTTACACAGATGCAAACCCTGCATCAGTCCTGCACTTCTGGATGCTTAATTATAGCCCGGGGGCTTCTCTGAGACTGAGGTGTGGCCACCCTTGGGAACTTGCTTGGAAATTACCTAGAGCCCAAATGTGTGGAGTAGTTAATGCCCTGTGGGGAATAATCTTGAAATTGGGTGGCTTTTAGCGGCTGGAAATTAAGGCCTCCAAAAAGGAATGCAGCTCTGTCAACACCTTGATTTTTGCCCCAGTGACACTTATGTCAAACTTGACTTCCAGAACTACCAGATAATACATTTGTGGTGATTTAAACCACTAATTTTATGGGAGTTTGTTACAGCAATAGAAAACTCATATGCCACTTGACCCATTTTCTTTACTAATCATTTTTCTCTGATCTTTTCTCCTTAATAAGACTGCACTCACCTTCTGTTGGTCTCCATGTTTTCACCTCATTGTCAGGGTAATATTTCAGGTGCTACAACCTAACATTCCTGAACTTTTGCAATCTAACTCCTACCCATTTTTCTATCTTTACTCCTTCAGCTCCTTAAGATACAACATGGTAACCCAACAGATCTGGCAACGTACTTATCAATTATATCTTTAGAATGTGAACTTCGTATGGCAAGGCTTTTTCTCTTTTCTGTACTCATCAATGTGCATTTCCCACCATGAATAGTACCTCGACATAGGAGAAACTAAATTAAGTCTTGTTAAAGAGAAAATATGAATGTTTCTTCTGCTATAGTTTTATAGTACTCTCTGTGCATAATTCCCTACCTCTTAATCACTGCATATTAAAATGCTAGCAAAACTTTAAGATTCAATGCAAATTCAATCTTGTCCATGAAGCCTTGCACCCCAAACTAATGTTTTCCTTCCTCTGAAAATTAATAGTGTTTATTTCCTGCATTACAAAATGGCGTTATCCACATACTGCTCTGGATTAAATTTAAAATTTCTGGTGTATATCTATATGAGGAAGAACACATGGATCCAGACATCAAGGAATTTACTTAATCTTCATAGCAGCGCTGGGGAAAAAATGAACTGTGCTCTTAGTTTGGAATCAGAAGATATGGGTGCTAATGC